ATGGATCGTTGGAGCTATGTGCAACTCAAGGCATGCTCGAACGGGAGCTGCCTGGACGCTGCAATCATGTTGCACTATCCGTGCTGAGTGTGCTGACTTTTCGTACTATGTCCCTCTGTCTGGCTGCCTGCCTGCATAAAGTCAAGTGATCGGCGCAGTTGTGGCAAAATGTCGCTCCTCTGTTTACATTTAAACAGCTCCTTATATCCGTTAGCGCAGCTAGCTAGCACTAGATGCTAACAACAACAACAACAACACGTAAGGTCTCTCTCTCGCGCCACACATACACACACCCTCGACCCTCCCGATGGCCAGTCGGTGCCTGCCGGTGAGCGTGGAAGTATGGTCTGCCACAAGCGAGCGGCATAAGCGGGGCTGTCAGCATCAGCTTGTAGATGGTATTTTAAACTCGATGTGCTCTGAAACTACGGGGCGGCCGAGGAAAAAAAATACTCATGCGTTAATCGCGTTAAAATAATTAGTGGCGTTAATTTTTTTTTGCTTTAACGCCCTAATATATATATATATATATATATGAGAGAGAGAGTTCTGTTTTCCAGCCTGACTCTTTAATTTATTGTTTTGGTTGTGTGTGATTTTAATTAATTTGTTATAATTAAATGTATTTATTTTATATAATTTATATATTTGAATATTATTTCACATTTCATTTGAAAAGTTGAATGTTCAATACAAAGTTATGTTTGAAAGGATGTACTTGAATTATTATTATATATTATCATTATGTCAGTGGTCAAATGGTCTTACAATGGTGCAGACAATATTATTCGTTTATCGCAATAATTTCCAGGAAAATGTATCGTCCAACAAAATGAATTATCGTGACAGGCCTAGCACCCAGTTGATCCAGCCTAAAGTCCTCCCTGACGTCTTGGGTGAGCTGAGAAAAGGAAAACAAACCCTCATCCTATAAGGTTACAGGCAAGAACAAATACAATTCCTTAGATACTGACCACAATACAGCGGTTGTTTCCTCCAGGCAGGCTGGAGCGAACCAGGCGGGACACAAAGTTGGCAGAGGACTGGCTGTTGTGCCTGCTGACACGTGGAGGCAGGGCAGCCACCGCAGCATGATTCAGGTACAGAGGGCAGCTGTCCGTGGGGTTCGGGGTCAAACCACTGAGAGCCGCCTGCCAGATCTGAGAAAAGAGACAGTGGAGCAGAAATACATTAGTTGACTAAAGGATTGTTTCAGAGTAAACTTAAACTTGAAAAGGCAAATATGGACCACTAATATAGAAAAGAAAGAGATAAGTAGAACATTGTATTAGTCATTCATGGCTTTCTTTTGGCTTTGGACAAGTGTTTGGGGCAATTAAACATTTTTTGTGGAATAAACAGCGCATCTAAAAATAACTGGCACACTGATTTATATTTAAAAATAATATATTAAAAAAAAAAAAAATAGTACCATTCGTTATAAACCATGTGAGGCTGTGGTCATAATCAGTGTGTCGAAGTGTGTGTATGTGCAGCTTGGAGGGTCTGAAGACTCATCACTTCAATATTAGGGAGAATGGTTAATTTGATCAAAAACATAATAATAATAATAGAAGATGAGTTTTAAAACCGACAGGCTTCAAAGAGTCCAGCCTGTGTCACAATTGCCAGCTTAAGTATGGCATAGCACTTCTGCCCCCCTGGAAGATCAAAAAGCAGAACTATAATGTTGGTGAATCATTGTCAGAGGAAATTGAGAAGAACAGACACTCTCTTTAGACTTTATAGACTGGCTGTCACCTTTGAACAATTATCTTTGGAGGACTTTGCACAGGGTCTAGACCTGTCAGTGCCACCCAAAACAAGCGTTAACTCATTGTACATTTGTTGATGTAGTTGTTCTTTACCTGAGTACATTTCTTAACATGTAATGCTACTTTTTACTTATACGCCACTATGTTTTAGATGCAAATATGAAATAATTTCAATTATTTTATACCTGTTTACAAGTTTCTTGGTACATTTTGATTATTTATTTATATAAATGCATCATTAGGCATTAATGTTAGGCTACCAAGCAGTATACAAAGTAATTAAAATTGGTGAAGAAAATGTAGGAGACTGTGCACATAAAATGTGTGCAAAAAATGTGCAACAAGAATTTGAATTCAGTAATATTATATATAAAAATATAAATCTGAAATAAACTTAACTCGAATAATATTACAATCTGAATTCAGATTTACAAGATAATAAGTAGCCTACTTACTTTCGGTTCTCCAAATACATTTTGATCCTTCCACTTTTGCAGAGTGTGTATGCATTTAAATGTAGTAATTGGTACTTTTAAAGTAAAATGTCTTCATTCATCTTCCACCACTGCTTGTTGTTATATCTAATTGTCTAAATACCTGGTTCACTCGCGTTATAATACCTGGGACTAGTTAACCTAGCGTGTTGTTCACGTTACATTCATTAAACTAGATTAGCATAGCGCTAACATTAGCTGTCACCAAACCCATCTCCTTCATTGATACCTCTTTGCTAACGACCGGCTGCAGTTTCCCTTTGATTTGGCTCCAGGAGACCTTCTGCAGGTTGCTCTGCTGTCCGATGATGAGCACCGGGCGGCTCTGGGGCTCGGAGTCCCCGGCTGAAGCCTTAAACTCCAGCACCACGTTCGCCATCTTTAGTAGCTAGCTGATGGTAAAGAAGACCTGCGGGTCACTGTGCAGCGGACCGGTGACGGCGGCCGGGAGAGGACAGTTTTATTTATAGAGGCTGAGCGTTTCTGCAATCTTTATCTACCTATACCGGCAACAAGAAGCAACTACATCAAGATATAAATGAAGCAAAACCCCTCTACAGAATTAGAATCAAGAATCTGGTTTATTGCCACAGTTTCTCACATAGCCTACATTGAATTTGATTCAGTGTCTTGGTGCATTACTACCTGAATGTGTACTTCTGTAAATTGTGATCATTTTGTATTTAAAAAATACTATGTGCATGCCTTTTTTTTAATATAGTGTTTTATTTTCTTCGTCTCTATACTTTGCTCTTACAACGTAAATGTCCCTTTTGTGGGACGAATGAAGGAATTCCGATTCTGATAACATAAACAAAGTAAGATAATTTAAAAATGGAATAACAATGACAAATAATGGATTCAAGCAAGAAATGTAATTTTCCAAAAACTACTGTACAAATATGTACAGGTAAGATTAACATAACAAAAGAAAATACAATTTAAAAAAAAAAAGGATACATTAATTTGAACAGTATTAAAAGTTGAATTAAAGGTTCAGGAGCTGTGCACTATCAAACTTCATTGTGAAGAAACTTGCAAAGGTCCAAAGCAGAAACTTAATTTTTGCAGGACTACGTTCCGCTGTAAAGAATCTGATGTTTTCATGTATTATTTATTTTTATTGCAAGTTAAGAACTAAACCAGTTTTGTTTACCAGATGAATTTAGAATCTACTCTGACTATTAGTTTGATCTTAGCCATAGTCATATGTAAAACTGGGCGTGCATTCAGAGGAATGTGGGTTTTAGGAAATATTTACACGCGTATTGATATAAAATGGCCCATGTGTAAACCACTAATCTGTTCAGCCTGCAGCAAAACTTTATGCTGAATACTATTAGAACCTATCTCAATCAGACAAACTCAATTATCATATACAGTGGGGAAAAAAGTATTTAGTCAGCCACCAATTGTGCAAGTTATCCCACTTAAAAAGATGAGAGGCCTGTAATTTTCATCCTAGGTATACCTCAACTATGAGAGACAAAATGAGAAAAAAAAAATCCAGAAAATCACATTGTCTGATTTTTAAAGAATTTATTTGCAAATTATGGTAGAAAATAAGTATTTGGTCACCTACAAACAAACAAGATTTCTGGCTCTCACAGACCTGTAACTTCTTCTGGTTAAGAGCCTCCCTGCCTCCCACTTGTTAACCTTATGCTAGAATGGCAACCTGTTGAACTCGTTATCGTATATTGGCAACGAAGACACCTGTCCCACAACTCAAACGTCACACTGCCAAATCTCCACTAGACCAAGACCAAAGAGCTGTTCAAGGCAGCCGAGAAGACGAAAATTGTAGACCTGCACAAAGGGGAAGACTGATATCTGCAACGGGTAAGTCCCTGGTGTGACGAGAATTTAAACTGTGGGACAATTATTAGAAANACATGGGGGTGGAAACATCATGCTTTGGGGCTGTTTTTCTGCAAAGGGACCAGGACGACTGATCCGTGTAAAGGAAAGAATGAATGGGGCCATGTATCGTGAGATTTTGAGTGAAAACCTCCTTCCATCAGCAAGGGCATTGAAGATTAAACGTGGCTGGGTCTTTCAGCATGACAATGATCCCAAACACACCGCCCGGGAGGGGTGGCTTCGTAAGAAGCATTTCAAGGTCCTGGAGTGGGCTAGCCAGTCTCCAGATCTCAACCCCATAGAAAATCTTTGGAGGGAGTTGAAAGTCCGTGTTGCCCAGCGACAGCCCCAAAACATCACTGCTCTAGAGGAGATCTGCATGGAGGAATGGGCCAAAATACCAGCAACAGTGTGTGAAAACCTTGTGAAGACTTACAGAAAACGTTTGACCTCTATCATTGCCAACAAAGGGTATATAACAAAGTATTGAGATTAACTTTTGTTATTGACCAAATACTTATTTTCCACCATAATTTGCAAATAAATTCTTTAAAAATCAGACAATGTGATTTTCTGGATTATTTTTTTTCTTTCTCATTTTGTCTCTCATAGTTGAGGTATACCTAGGATGACAATTACAGGCCTCTCATCTTTTTAAGTGGGAGAACTTGCACAATTGGTGGCTGACTAAATACTTTTTTGCCCCACTGTATTATATGTAAAAAAACGAGCATATAAGGTGTTTCACTTTTTCGATCATACAAATGCAGAACCAGCTTGTTGTTGGGTGTATTTGTAGATCAGCTGTGTGTATATACAGTCATGGAGCTTAAAAGGGAAAATGGAAAGAAAATTCTGCAACAACCCATCTCGTGGAAGTGATTTATTTATGTTCTCTCATATCAATGCCATCCACAACTAGATCACAGAGTACTCAAGCTGGGAGATACACCCTGAAATCTCAGTAAAAAGTACAGAAGACACACAGTTTGGGAAAGAGCACTTGCTAAAGACAAACATTAATCATTTCACTGTGCTTGCATTTAGAAATGTCAAACCATTTTCTCAAATGAAACAAAAAGCCCCAATTGATTTAGTGTCTCATGAAAGGTAACGTTGTAAAATGCACTTTTAAATGTTGTATATTTGCATAAACCTAAGGACACTATGTAAACTTTAATGTCGGAGTGCAAATAGTTTAAAGCCATCTTTAGATAACATAGTACATTTTACTAGGGAAAAATACAATTTAGCAAATATCTAAGTCTGTGTGTGCACAACTGTCAAAATATAAAAAGGAAACAAATATTGAAAGCAAACCTCAATTTATTGCTGATTTATTTAAAAGGTGAAAAACTATTAATAAATAACTGTTAAATGCTGTTATGTATTCAATAATATACTTTTATATTTCTTCGTGTTTCACAGTGATTGTTAGAGTCCTTAGATGCAAGTGGTTTATTTTCCCAAAGTTAACTGCACACTGATAACATTATAATGACAATAGATTTACAAACAATTGCTGAAACATTTAATTTACAGGTTGACCAACTAAATATTTAATTGGCAATTTGATTATAAACATTTTTTAGTAATTTGTCAAACAAAAATGTTCTGGTTACAGTTTCTTAAAGATGTTGGATTTGCTGCTCTTGTTATTTTGAAATCCATGGAAATTAAATATCTTTGGGTTTTAGACTGCTGACGAAGAAAACATTTCAAAAGGTGTCAACTTGGGTTTTTAAAACTTAATGTGAACTTAATCATGAAAAAAATAAACTATTCAAAACTAAATCAATAATGAAATGAATCTCTAGTTAAAGATATTGAAAAAGAAAATGAAATGACACATTTGCTAAAGATTGTTAAGCTCAGAGACTGAAATATTTTTTTTTTCCTGTGCTTTCAATGGTTCATATAGACATTTTTCATATCTGGCTTATGTGATACTCCCGTCATACATTTGTTATGCAACGTATAGCTCAAATATGCTTTTTATTGCACCCACAGTACAGTACGCAGACCTGAGGTTAATTCTCAATAATTTGGGATTTTCAGGATAACACAATTAAAAGGTTAGCTTCATTTAAACGTATACAAAGTTAGAACTATATATACACTAGACTCTGTAAACTATATAACTACTACTATAGACATGCTTGTGACTTTACTAAACTGAAATGTAACTTGTATAAATCATGATAATATTAGAATAATAAGGTTTTTCATATCAGCTTACTGTCTGCTACACTCACGATAGGATAGAAAAATAGTCCTATTAATTGCATAAAAGGTTTAAAGCACCTATTTTTTTTTTTTAAACAAGTATATTAGGAAGCAATGTCTAATATGCAAAATAGCTCACACACACGCAACACTACCACACAACCATCCGAGTACTCTTGCACGTGTATCATCTGAAGACAAACATGCAGATTTCAGGCTTTGCTGGTTAACGAGACTTTGCCCCAATACTGACAGCGGACGGGATTCAAGTGGAGAGGATGTGTCGTGTGCTCATGTGAAAACTCCCTCTCATTCAAATGGTTAGTACTTCATTAAAATAACATACGCGTGTGCTAAACTCAACTCACGTGGCATATATATAATCTAAGAGGTCTGCTAATATTAGTAATGTGTAAGACTAGATTTTAGAGAAGCAATCGATGCTGCTAGTGCATAAGCACATAATGTGCAGGCAGCTGTCATCACGTGCTAGAGAAGAAACGAGGCATGATCCTGGACGTGTGTGTGTGTATAGACTTTGTGTTACACCAGAGTGAAATTTCACTCCATTGTACACCTGCCCACAGCCCACTAAGGCCTCTTGCGTAATTACATTAGAAGCTTATCGTATGATATATGGACATGTCTTTGATCATTCTTGCCGACTTTGATTTTGCCGCTTGTGTTAACATGCATATTTGTTATCATAAGGTGGACATTAATATTTTAGCTAACATGATGCCAAAATAACACGCTTTTTCCGACCCTTATAAGAATTCAAAGCCCCAATTCTGTAAACAGAAAAAAAAAAAATGTTGGTTGAGGTTGTTTCCGTCACACAGCGACACACACACACACACACACACACACACACACGGGTAGGTACATTTCGAGGCTTGTTGGTGTTTTTCCTGACGTCTACTGACCAGACAAAAAGGTTTGAAAGAATAAGACGAAAGATCCAAATAGACTTGGTTTCAAAGTTGCACTATAAAGCTCTGGTGTGGGAACATTTTGGGTTTAAGCTAAGGAATGAACTATTCTCTATACCCCCGTGCCAAATGTTCTATATTAATTTAAGTGCAATTTTGTATGCTGAGCCCGAGAGTCAATTTCATTTTTTTTTTTTGGGTTGTGTGGTTTTAGTTTATGTTTGAATTCTTAATTCTCAATTTACTCCATTGCTCTTTAAAATGGGATACTTGCATTATTATGCTTTTATATCGTCATTATATAAGTGGCATAAAATGGTCTTAAAATGACAATTATATCAGCGATATCTTGTAAAGCAGCAGTAATTATGGTGACACGCCTACAGGACATGCGGCTGCTGTGTTAGGCGTGACAGAGGTTACCGCTGGACCCACAGCTGGCAGTGATGCCGCAGTTCTTCAGGATGGGGCTGAAATGAGAGGCTGTACCGGTGCCGGCCTCTCTGGGGGGGAAAGGCTTCATGGTGGAGAGGATCAGGGCGAGACAGTCCGCCACATTCTTGTTTGGGGCGCAAGCAAGAGCCGGTGTGTGGCCTGAAGAGGGACAATGGGTAAAGAATGATCATTCAGTACTTCAGAAACAAGGACTGCTTTGGTATTGTATTATATAAATATTCCTGCTTACCTTCCTGATCGACAGCCATCACCGCGGCTCCTCTGCCCAATAACACCTGCACTACAGTGGTCAGGCCTTTCCTTGCTGCTATGTGAAGAGGCCTGCATGAGAATAAAAGACAAGTATTTCATGTTTGAAAAAGAATAGCACATGCAGTGCAACTGGGGTCAATGGCAGGCGAGTCAACATTAAAATCATGGACACATTTCCTTTGATGACTTTGTTCATTGTACAAATGTATTTCAGAGAATAAACATCTGCATCTTGGATGAACAGCTTGTAGCTTTTATGAGGGTAACCTTTAGTACATTATCAGAATGACTGTAAAATTAATTATTTTTCCAATGATGTTTTCCACAAAACACTGTATTACGTACGTTATACTTGACTTCTGAATTTATACTGGATGATATCCTTTTTCATACATTTAAAAAAAGGTAATTGTTTTCCCATTTTAAAATAACAGGGGGCATGTATAGCACTTCGGGATGACTCACATTTGGAGAGTGTCGTTTGCTGCATTTATGAGGGAAGAGTCGTTGATCTCTCCGAGGATCAACAGGGCACACATCTCATGACCCTGCAGAATGAAACACATTGTACAATATTATTAAAGTGCATTATATCACTTAGAACAAACTGCCTGGAATGTTACAGGTTGTCAATGCTGTACATTACGATTACAATTGTATTTAATTTGCATTAATTACTAAGTTTCACACCATTCAATGTTATAGCATAACGACACTATAAGCAACTGAAGGGTACGTTCAATTGTACTAAATAAAGAAATATCAATGAGATTTTTGAAAAGACATTTGATTACATTTTAAACACACATGCAAAATGAATTGTTGTGCCATTTCAAGCATGCAGTGCATCTTTAAGTGTGTGTATGTGACCTTGCTGCAGGCTAAGTGAAGGGCAGTGTTACTATTGACATCCACCAGCGTCAGGTCTGGCTTCGCTTTGTGCAGCAAGAACTCTGAAATGCAGAAAATAAGAAACTTTTCACAACAAGCACAGACCTTTCAAACATATAGCAACTTACAATCAGTGCAACAGGAGAACACATTTATATAGTGTTTTAAAAAGGTTCCCAGCAGTGAGGAGGGACTGTGAGGGTCAAAACAGTTCACACATGCTAAAAGGAAATATAACAATACCTTTGTCTTTGTGCAATCAAGTGCTTGAAAATAAATGACAGTAGAGGGAACATGGATGAAAGAGGGACCTTGAGTATCTCTTGTAGAAAACATTGTGTAGTTTTGTCCTCTCCGTGAGCTGAAAATGGCCCTGATGCGTTTTGAGGTTTATGATACACATTAAGACCACACTCATTTCAATCACATACCAACAGCCTGAGTCTGTCCACAGTCAGCAGCAACCATCACTGCAGAGCATCCACAGAGATCCACAGCGTTGATGTCCGCTCCCTGATCCAGGACCAGCTGGAGCCCGGCAACGTTTCCTGAATGACCAGCCGCATGCAATGGGGTCCTGCATTTAAATAACATGTGACATTAAGGGCTGCAGCTGTCATTCTCATGATCAATACATCTCCAATTATTTGATAAATTAACTTATAAACAAAAAAAGTGTCCATCTCAGTTTCAATGTCAAGAGAATGTCTTCAAATGTTTTGCTGTCAGTCAAAAAAAACAAAGACTTTCAGTTTAATATGATATAAAAGAGAAAAAAAGCAAAGCTTGAGACTTGAAAAAGCACTTTCTAACATATTCTGATTCAGGCAAAATACGAAATCTGAATTATCAATACAAGTTCCTCTTAACCATTATTTTCACAAAACAGACCAAATGGAGAGCAATAATCATGTACAGCCCTCACGATTTAGTTGCAAACCGTTGTTTGCAAAATGCATGCCTGAATTGCAAATAAACATTTACAATCATCGTAGACTGACCCATAACGGCAGCGCTGCATTAAATAGATATGTTATGATTAGTAGAGCTCAACCCAGAGCAGAACCCACCTTCCTTTGGCATCGCTAACTTTAACTATTTGAGGGCCAACAGTCTTCACTATCAGTCCAGCAGCAACGTCATGTCCATTTACTCTGTGTGGGAAGAACAGAGGTGTTACATTTTGAAAAAAACACATTCAATGTATTGTACATAATTCATAAAAAACAAATGTATGAGCATTTATTTGAAATACAGTACTCACAGAGCACAGTGCAATGCAGTGAAGAAATGTCCCTCCTGGTTGCTAAAAAGCTTGTTCTCAAGTAAAATCTGTAAACATCCTTCATGCCCTATAGACAAAGGAAACAAATAGATAAATCATCCATATTCAAATCTATAAAAAGAACGGTGATACAGAAATAGTTATGCTTTTTGCGATGGTCTTTTTAGATAGAACGTTTTTTTTACATGAGTTGTAGTGACCACTAAACGGCAAAAATGAGACTTTGATTATATTGCATGAGTTGTTTGAGCGTTTGCTCTGATGTCTCACCGTAGTGAGCAGCCCAGTGTGTGGGCGTGTAGCCTCTGAAGTCCAGTATGGAGTCCAGAGGGTCAGCTTTCACAGCAGCCTTCAGCAGAGTCCGGAGCAGCTCTGCGTGGCCGCGGGACGCTACGAGGTGCAGCGGGGTCCTTCCCTGAGAGTCTCTACACAGCGCAGAGGCCCCGTGCTCCAACAGAGCAGAGGCACAGTCCTCACTGCCTAACATCGCCTGCAGCGGGAAGACACAAGATATGAGGGGGAAAGAAGACAAACGACTCTCCAAAGGGGCGTGGCACTTGTTTTTGTTATTAATTGCCATAATAAAATGATAGGACATGTACAGAAGCACAGCAAGTACACCTACAGCTCTGTGTAATGCAGTGAAGCCCTTCTTGTCCGCAGAGTCAGCCTTTGCTCCTTTCTCCAACAAGATGTGGACACAGTCGGTGTGACATCCCAGAGCTGCAAGCATGAGAGCCGTCCTGCATATGAAACAAATAATTATTGTCTGCTGTGAGGACGTTGGAAAAGAATCTCCCTGGGGAATGTGGTTACTACAACTCATTTGAAATGCACATTATTGTTGTCTCTTCAATTATTTTACACATTACAACTATAGCATGAACAAGGCAAAGGTAATTCAATTCAAGGATAAACTAAATAACTTTATGGTGGACATGAACAAGGAAATACAGACTGCTTTTAAACATTGGGGATGGAAAGAGAGATGCCTGCGCTTCAAACTGTTAATATAATAATAACAGTTTTTTTGATTGTGTCACAAAAGTAAACATTGATTGGAATAACCAGATTGCATTATTAGTGTGTAGCTTTCAACTAGAAATACTTTGTTAAAGTTGCTGTCAGCAATTCTAATTCAACACAGTTTGTCAAATTCAGAAAATACCTCGTCACAGACCACTAGCTGTCTGTTCTGTATGCAAACCAAATCTGGTGTTTACACAGTAAACAATCATAATGTATATAAACACTGTATATGTCAGGTGTTTATCTAACTATCCAACGATGACATATTAAAGCAATACATCTTAAGTGACTCACTTTCCCTGTGTATCAGGACTGTCGATGACTTCAGCACTTTGTTCTTCATTGACCAATAACAGCAAACAGTCCATGTGGCCTTCAGCAGCTACACAGGAGGAAACGGTAACATAACAAATCAGATTCACAAAGATTCATCAAACATAGAAATGTAAATCATTATTTCTTAACTATAAAACATAACTTTTCACTCTCGTTACACACACCTGCAGCATGGAGAGCCGTCCACCTGCGCTTCTGCTCCTTCAGGGAGAAAGAGGCTTGGTGCTTCAGCAGCACCTCCACACACGGGGCAAAGCCTCTCTGAGCGGCCAGGTGGAGGGCCGTCCTGCCTTCAATGTCCCGCACATCCAGACTCACAAGGGTCTCACAAAGCAAACGCAGTGCATCACAGTGACCATAATACGCCTGTGACAGCAGAATGCATAAAATAGTATTGTTAGAGGCTTGTAAATGTAAAGTCTTAGTTTAAAAGTAATAACTGATCTGAGTGCTACTCACAGCTAAGTGCAGAGGACTGACTGGAATATTACTCTCAACCTCTTCTAGACAGTTGAATGAAATCTCCAGGAGCTGCAAGAGGGGGACAAGAAGAAACATCTCACACTTAAACTACTGTTGGTTGAGCCTGCATTCACTTAAACATTAAAAAAATGATCTAAATCAAAGATACCACTGACCAGTTCCAGGTGCTGTTTGTTCCCATATGCTGCTGCATAGTGGACGGCGCTGTAACCCTTACTGTTCTTCAGAGTTGGGTTTGCCCCGCTGTCAAGCAAGAAATCTAAACACCTAAACACACAGAGCACAAGATTAAGAAAGGTGCTAAGGCAGGCAGACAAAGACAAATGTAAAAAACGATATAGTAATCATAATACACATTTTTAACTCTGATGTTATTCTTAATTTGTTTTGAAATAATGAAAACTAAGGTTCGCTCAGTTACAACATGTCAACACAAATGTTAACATAATTCTAGATACAATAACAATGATATATAATGTGTTATTTTACTTTATGATTACCAATATGTGTGATAGGATACAAATGATGACTTACAGAGAGGCTTCGTGTTCCTTTCCCTCACTGTGTTCAGACTCAGAGTTCGTCTCCCCCCTGTTGAAGGAAAAGATGGATCATTTAAAGACGCACCTAGATGAATTGAGGATTAACAATGAAGAACTCTCCACATGATGTTGTTCTTGCCCCTCTGAGCAAAGTGAGTAAAACATTGAAATGAAAGTAAAGGTCCCTCACCCACAAAAGGTGTGTGAAGCGGCGGCGTAGTGCAGGGGGCTGCAGCCCGTCAGGTCCAGCTCATTGACAGCAGCGCCGGCTCTCACCATGGAGATGGTGCACTGGCTGTTCCCGTTAGCTGCAGTGTAGTGCAGAGGAGATCTACACGGAGCAACAGGGAGACAGACAGCTGTGATATCAGGTAACACCAAAACAGATTTCAAGTTTTACTAACAGATATTCAGCTATTCTTACCGCCCCAAATGATCCTTTGCATCCAGATCGGCATTGGCACTATTCAACAGCAAGTTCAGACAGTCTACATTTCTGTTGCAAGAGGAAAGAGTAGTCAGTAGTGTTTCAAGCAAATACATGTCAGTTTAAAGTGGACCTATCATGCTATATTTGAATAATATAGTGTAGGACCATACCTATATAAGGCATATTTATACTTTTTATTTTTCAAAATACCAAACAGATCATGCATTTTAGCCATTCCTCATTTCGCTCAATTTAACACTGTCTTTGCATGGGCTGATTCTGTGAGAACAGCACCATCTACAGGCCTGGCATATGTACTACAGCGTCTCCAGCGCTTTCGAACGGCAATAGCCTCATCCAATACCCCCTCCTCGACTCCTCCTCTTTCCCCTCACTCCGGGACTTGACCCGGAAATCGATCAGACCACGCCATTTTGAAGGAGTCCCATAGCTTGAAATGCACACGGAGGAACTCCGAGGGAGGGGTGAGGGAGGAGGGGTGCGGGAGGAGGGGTGCGGAGGATACACGCGGAGACTACGCGGAAGTGCGCTTTCACTACTCGCGTATAAAAGCCCCGCCCCACCTTCACAGGTGGTCGATTTCAACAGAGGAAAACAGACAACTGGAAGATGGAGGGAAAAACGCCACACATCACACATGTTCACTGAGAGTGCTCACAAGCTCCGTGGGAATTATTATGTGCAATTCATTATCTAAAAAGGCTTTCACATTACTATAATTATACCCTATAATTTTGACAATGTACCGTACATTTACCACCAAAAAGGGAACACAAAAGCAGGACCTAACTATCAATACCATTGAATTCCTTGACTAACAAGAGAAAGANTATATATATATATATTACTTTTAAACTGCGTAACACACACAGGCAAAGCATCAGAGTCACTTTTATTGCCATGTGCTCTTGCAAAGATAAGGAGTTGTTGATGCACCACGATAAATGCAGGGCATACGTGAAGACACATCATGTAACATTCTAAGGAAAAAATGAACATTGTGTTAAGATATATATGTCTTAAGTGGAAATCCTGTGCAGTTTTGTTAAGAAATGTTAAAACATATTTTACCGGGCTATATTCTATGACATAATAAAGAATGTGGTGTGTGGAGACAGTAAATATGTGCGTCACGATATTGCCAGCTGCAGTCAGAAAGAAAGTTTTTTTTGCTTCATCTTATTAACGGCAATTGAAACACAAAGGGGAATAAAGAAGCTGTGGGGGACATTTCCAACAAACATCTGAAATAATTAATTGAAAAGTATGAAATCTTATCTTTGTGCGTTCTGAGAAATTTTGAATTTTCAGTTGGTATGAAATCATTGTTTTAATTGTATACTCTGCAAAACAGAACACTACAACAGTTAGTATTATATGTAGCTCTGTATAGAATTAGTAACCAGTTTACAGTAGGGATTTGGGAAAATAAAGTTTCAAGAAGGCGCACTCAATAAATAAATGCAGCATTATATTCTTCACTTCAATTTCAAGTATTTGTTTCTAGTCTAGGAAGATGCTGAAAAAAGAGTGAAAAGAAAGAACAATATTTACACACAGAAATCAGAACTTTAAACAATTCTTATTTAAATTCAGTTCATTAAATTTTTTCAATCACTTTATTACTGTACGTGTGGTTGTGAAATTATGAGCACAGATATCACATGATCGAACAAACGAAAACAATGAATGCTCACGAGAAAAGCTCGTGTTATTTCCTCCTGTTTAAACTGTTTGACTTGTCCTCGGACCCTCTGAAAAGGGTCATTAAGTCCCCCTTCAGTGCCAACATTTATATTACAATACATATTCTGACAAATCCATCAGATATCTAATCCTTACACCAGGGGGCTCAAACTCAATTTCATCACGGGCCACGTCAGGATTATGGCTGCACTCAAAGGGCCGGTTGTAACTTTAAGACTATATAAAAAGACATATATAAATATATATAAAATAATGTATTATATTACATTATTGCCTCTGCATTGGATTATTATCGGAGCAGAAGTCTGGGGCAAATAATTGCAAGTGTCTTCAGTGTGAATGTCACAAAATGATTTAAAAAGAAAAGCCAAATTCTGGAAAACAAGTCACAATCAAAAAACAGAAGTGACATTTTTTTAAAAAGGTAGTGACTTTTACAAAAAAGTAACATTTAAAAAAAAGTAACATTTAAAAGAAAGTAACAGTTAAAAAAAAAAATACCATAGTCAAATTCTGAGAAAAAGGCACATACTAAGAAAAAATGCATTTTTAGAAGAAAAAAAGTCAAATTCTGAGAAAAAAAAGTCTAATTTGAGATGCATTGTGGGACATGTAGTTTATGGGCAACGTGCTTCTGTAAATCATTATGTAACCGTATAATAAACATATAATATTCTTTGCAAGCTCTTGTGGGGCCACAGAAAATGAAGTCACAGGCTGGATTTGGCCCCGGGCCTTGAGTTTGACACCCCTGGTCTAAACTAATGTAAAAGTTTCAAAAATAATTCGTTTTATCGTAGTCTCTGTAACATCATAGTGGTATTCTTTGTGCAAACTAAGCCTCTGTCTGCCACAAATCCTGGCATGTTAACTGTTAATTAGTACCGTAAATGTATAGTGTTTGAGAATAATACATAATATCCCAATACTCAAGTGTATTGATATTTTCATACACCCCTAATGTGTGTGTGTGTTGGCTCACCCTCCAGAGGCAGCTGCATGCAGGCAGGTCCTTCCATGGTCGTCTAAGACGTTAATATCATCCCCTGCTGACGGCACTTGAGACGGCATGATGTAAAACTGGCCTGAGCGATACACAACCAACAATAAGACTTTGTTAAGTGGAAACATATTGAGTTGTGTTAGTAATACAAATTAATGAAAAGGAGATGATAAATTAAGGAGTTTATAGACTCAAAGAGATTCTCACCATTGGACAATAACTTTCGACAGCAGTCTGGATATCCGTAGAGCGCTGCCAAATGCAGTGGAAGCATCCCATGAATACCCTGTCTTTGAAGATCATTAAAAATATGATTTAGTATTACATTTTGTATTTGTTGGTTTGGAGCATTAACAGTGAATGTGCAGCTTAATCAGTTACAAAATACAAAATCATGTGTATCAAGCTGTGTAATAATGCTTATCATAAACAAAACCAAAGACAAACATGGAAGACTCTCAGGTTTGGCCTTACTGGGTCTTATCAGCACCGTTGGTCAGCAGAGTGCTGATCAGCAGCTCCTGACCATATCTGGCAGCAACATGAAGAGGGGTGTTTCCAAACATATCAGCGCAGTCGATCTCCCCACCTGTGCGCAGAGGAAGATGTGAGTATATCATGGGTTTCATTTGAAGACGTGCTATGATCATTCGAGTTGGAGTATATTGTGAGAGAGAACTGTGATGCTAGGCTTTGTTACCATTTTGGATCAGAATCTGAGAGCCTGTGAAGCGCCCGTGCATTGCGGCCATATGCAGAGGGCTTTTCCCTTCTTTATTCTGTCAACAGAGAATAAGAAAACATGTTTAGTTAAACAAATGGCATATATACTTACAATCTGTACATGTTCATTGAATCCTCTAAACATTGACTCAAATCCAGTATCAATTAGCACTTTCTTTGAAGCCCACATTTACTAACATGTACAGTCCTCAACAATCAACTGTAGCAGGACTCTGTGTGCTTTAATATTCCATCCATTATGGTAAGTTGAAAAGTAAAGTGCAGTACATCTTGATATAATGCATGTGTCATCTTAACATTTTTATTGATGCATTAAATGAATTGTGATGCAATTAATTGTATTAAATAATCTATTAAGCATCTTAAGTGATGCAGGTCATGATGCAGTTTTTATTATTTGTAATGCTTATAATGATAATTCATTACAAGCCTCATCTATAATATTTTATGACTGTTAGTATATAAGAAAGTATGTTTATAAGTGTAAGTGGTCTCTCAATTCAATAAAGTCTGACTGAAGCACTCCTTTGTGCACCAGTCAATCCTCACAGTAAATACAGAGCTACATCCCAGATCAAATGCACGCTAAAGGGTCTTTGAGCATGTTTTCTCTCAGTGATTGTGCTGTTAAATGTTTTTTATTTTTCATGTATTGTGTCTTGATATTTGTCCATGTTGATGTTACAAATGGAGCTGCTGTGATGCAAGTCACATTTCAGACTTGATCTGACCAGTAGAGTATTATCGTATTATCGTAAACAAGAAGCATTTAATATGCATTGTAAATCCCTATACAACAGTAGTTCACAACCTGGGGGGCGTGCCCCCCTTGGGGAGGCGCCAAAGATCGCAGGGGGGGAGCCAGGTCTCAGATGATTTGAGGCCAAATATCATATTTAGACTTTTTTTACTTTTTCTTTTTACATAGAATTGTAAGGCAAGACATGATTGTCACTAAAAGCCTTTTCTCTACATTACAATTAAAAAATAATTGATGAATTAATTTTTATAAAAATTCAAGTTAGTATTAAAGGCATAAAAAGAAAGAAATGTATAATTCTTTCTTTAATAGAAATGTTTCTTCTGCCTGGAAAGTGTCCAAACCAGGCTTGTCTGGATAAACGCATTTAAAAAAAATAGTCATTGTCCATGCCGGTTTCAGTTGGATTATTTGTCACAGTTGCTCCGATCAGATCGGTCTCCTCCATTTTGTAGATTATTTACGACTTTTGAATTCACTTACTTTGAGCATGTGTTTCAAACAGTTTAATCCCTTTGTGAATTGTTTCTACTGGCACCGTCCTTTAATTTCTTCATTCAGCGGGAATCCAAATGAATTAATCCTGAGTCCAATAACCATCAAAGTCACTCCAATAGTGCTCCTTAATTACGCTTTCATCCTCCTTTAACAAAATACTTCACATTCATCCAGTTTGTGACAGTAGTTGTAGCATTTTTGAGACTTTTAAACTTTAATTACCGCTGTTTCCCCCCCCCCCCCTTGT